CTCACACAATAATCGTGTACAAATTTACAAATGAATTTATTTTATTTTGAGTTATGATTTGAACTCTTTAAAGTGTCAATAACATGGCAGACAATAATGCAACAATAACCAATACGGAAGCTTTCAAGATACCTGCATTATTGAAACAGTTGGCATCTCTGACCTTGATTTGCAATTGATTGGAAGGATCATTCAAACCACTTTCACAAAAATCCTTTCCACTTGCATAAGAGGTAATGACAGGTTTTCCATTTGTAACTGGAACGAGAGCACATTTACTGTACAATCTGTCACAGAATGATGAACACAAGTACAAGATAGATTTCTGACCCAGAATTTGAATCTTTTCCTCAATGAAATTGGTTTGTCCAGGAGAACACAAATAACAAACTTAGGAAGTGATGTTAATAATTGGAAATTGAAAGTTTTCTCTACTTACTATATTGATGCAACTCATCTAAGCATCCACCAGCAAAAGCTTCAACAAGGAATTGAGGAATGGTAACATTTGATGAGCCACTGTTTCTTCCACTTTGACTTTCCCAACCTTGTTTAATTTTCTTTGAGCTGTCAACTGTGCAGCAACTGTTTGGATTATACCATTGACAGGTGGCTAATTCTCTTGGAAGTGATGGAATATAACCTCTACAAGCAGATATTAATTGGTTGATGGATTCGTCCTTGGTTTGTTCTGATTGAATGAATTGAGCAGAGAACAGTAAGAGCAAGACAAAGATAATGAGAGATGAGTGAGACATTTTTTAAATGATTGAAAATTGATAATTAATTGGCGTTTGACATTTATTGTTCATAATGTTCAATGGTTGAACACGGAGGCCGTATAAAACTCAGTAACAGAAAATTACAGGAAGAATCACTGCCTATACGGTTTAGCACGATTCTCATAATCTATGAATATATTAACCAATGACACAAATTAGGCAAGGTTTCATAGTGTTTTGGTATCCTATTTTACATGTTAGGAATATTTCAAATTATCCATGATTTTCGTCATTATTCTGTTTGGAAGGCAGTTTTCTATTGAAAGTAAATGCTCCTCAGTGATTGCACCATTTGCTCTACAGTTTTTATCATATTATTTGGTATGTTGTCAACAACAAGTTATTAGAAATCGAAGCAATTGCATCAAGAATTCGATAAATTTATCTCTCAATAAAATTGTTATTATTATTTTCGTGATGATCAACAATATTACACCACAAATTTCAACAATATTTGGGAAGAATATTTTACCACTCCTTTTCTGCTTTCAAATCATTACACTTTTCACACAAATCATCATACCAACATGGTGGCAGAGAATGCATATGATCGGGATAGGCCTTAATTAAATATCGATCTCTACTCAATCCTCCAGGTTCTTGGTACATTTCCTTGCAAATCTGTTGAAATTTCTCACATGAAATATTTGGGAATCGGAGATGATATTTGCCCTCACACAAAGTATTCTCCTCAAAATCAATTCCATGCTTGAGGTTGAACTTTTTTTCCAGAACAGAGTAGAATAGCTCGTCGGAATAATCATCCTGATCGTAATCGATCGTTACTAGAATGTGGTAGAGTTTCTGTGGTTTTGCTTGTTTCATTTTTTTTTAAGAAAATTCAAAATTTAAATTAAAATTTAATTACATATTGTAAAGGTCAAAATTGCACCACCAACATGTTTTCAGACGAAAGTCCAATAATCTCATCCAATGTAAAGTTCCAGAAAAATGTCCAAATATTCAACAACTCAAATAAATACTCAATTTATTCTCAATTTCATTTATTAAAAAAGAAAAAATCAAAAGATGAAATTAAGTAATCAGTGTGTGAGATGATAATTATTGAAAAGTTGGATAATCGATATAGCCAGTAACAACATCATTGGAACCATAAAAAGTACTTCTATCATAATGATTGAGTGGATGACCATTTCTAATTCTTTCAACCAAATCAGGATTAGAAATAAAGTGTCTTCCAAAAGCAATCATATCTGTGGCACCCTCTTCAGTGGTACTCTTTGCTGTGGCTGGAGTAAAACCACCAGCTGAAATAATTGGAGATCTTGTCAATGGTTTCAATTCCTTGGTTACAACCACAGGTTTGGATTCAGCTTGGCCATCATCTGAATTTGCTCCACCTGATATTCTTGGTTCTACAAGGTGAATATATGCCAAATCATATTCATCCAATGCTTTGACAGCTGCTTCAAAGAGTGGTTTTGGATCTGAATCACTAATTTCCAAGAAACATCCACTTGGACTCAAACGAATTCCAACTCGATCTGATTCATTATCAAATCCTTCAATACATGCTGAAATAGCTTCACGCATAAATCTCAATCTATTTTCAATGGAGCCACCGTATTCATCAGTTCTCTTATTAACTCCATTTTGTAAAAATTGGTCAACTAGATAACCATTAGCAGCATGCAATTCTACTCCATCAAATCCAGCCAATTTAGCATTGCTAGCAGCTTGCTTATATTGTCCCATAATGACCTTAATTTCCTCAATGGACAATGCCTTTGGAGTGGTTGGCAATTGTTGTTCCCTGGTTTGCAAATTTGTAGATGTATCATTTTGAATTGGAACTGCAGAAGAGGAGACATTGTCAGCATAACGTTGTCTACCAACATGCCACAATTGCAAAAAGATGACACCTCCCTTTTGATGGACAGCATCTGTCACCTTTTTCCAAGCTTTAACCTGAGCTTG